TCTGCCAGATGCTCCCAGGGGGTTCAGGAGTCACTGGCTCATGTCATGTACCCCATCTGTCAGTCCCTCCTGCCCTGGGAGCAGAGATGGCAGAAAGGGCACAACATTCATTCCTCAGCCTCACTTGTTCACAGGCTGCTGCAATAAATGAAATCTCCATCTCTACTACACTGAAATGCAGCAGTTGATGCTCACCAGATGTAGCCCAGGAGTTCACTGCCTCCCACAGCTGCCAAACTTACAGGTAAATCTGAGCTTTAGAGCTGCTAACTATTACAACTTCCAAGGCAAAACTACAATCAGATCATGGAAAGGTTCAATAAGCCAGGTGGCAAACACTGTTCTGTACAACAGCATTAGCTGTGGCTTCTCAGGTCCTGAGACCCAACACAGGCTTAGGTCACAAGTCCTGGTTTCCTCTGACTCAGCTGGACTTGGCCAAAGAACAAAGGTACCAATCTCAAGCTTTTTAAGGTAAAGCAGAGGGCCTGGCCAGCCTACAGCACTGTGTATCCTGGCACAGCTTCATGGGCAGTGCCAGCAGAGAAACCTCATCCTGACACAGCTGGACAATCACTGCAACTCTGCCAGAGAACAAGGGGAAAGAGAAGTTGTCACCTCCACACTGCCAAGCATTTTACAGAATTCATCATGTTTCCCACTGGACAGCTTCCTTTTGCTGTCAGCCTCATAGGAAAATGCAGCAATCTGCAGAAGAATCTGACACTGGCACTTCATAACATCCTCTGTGGTGACTAAGTCCTGTCGGTGGCCCCTGGCCTGCTGGCTCACAGACAGTTGTGTTAAATCAGGAATGAACTCTGGACTATGTCATCTTGGTCTCATTTTAAACATTTCTGATCCTTGTGACTATGAAGAGGCTGAGCCCACTTGCTGCTTTCAAAAATTTCAGGCTAGTTTCTAGAGCCAATTACATAGTACAGGGCAATTCTTAGCTCTGTCAAAACAGCTTTTGGTTCTCTGGAACACAAATGTGAACGAGACTGCCAAAGTGTGTGGAAAATGAAATTCCAGCTGCTGCTGCCAAAAAGTTACAGGAGAATACCATCCACACAGAAACATGTGCTGAAAATAGGAGTGTCTGGGCCTGCAGCTGGTGGATGCTCTTTTCTCTGATAGCTCCTGTGAGATGAGTGTAACCTCTCTGGTACAGACCTGCTGAAGCCTCTGAGGCCTCTCCTGCCGCCCTCGTAGAGCTCTGGGTCGTTGCTATCCCAGGAGGATCCCGTGGGCCTGATGTAGGTTTTGCTCCAGCTGTTGCTGCAGCACTCCAGTGCCTCCAGTTGCCTTTTCACTGCCCCTGGGTTCTTGCAGAAGTCACAGCACTTGTTGCAAGGTGGGGTGACATCGCCGAAGTACTTTGCGATGGCAGCGTGGCGACAGCTTGGAAACACAAGGCAAAATCATCTGGTCATCACTTCTATCCACAAAAACTCCACCCTCCAAATGCAGGGTGTCTTTAAGAAAAAAAAAATATTTAAAAGAAATAAAAATAAATATTTGAGTCTTATTTTTTCACAGAGAATGTCTATTCCAGCAGGAATCACAGCGTTTAATCCACGGAGCAGAATTCGGGCTCTGTTCCTGGCACCTTGCTTAAAGTCTCTCTGCCTCACTTCCCCGTATGTAAAAAAAATGTCAGTGTTAATCTCTTCTGCTAAACCCTTTCAGATCTTTGAGATCTTCAAAAGGATGAAATATACAGTTATTAATTCTGCATCACTGGCTAAATATATTCCATGTCCTATCAGGATGGCTGTAGGTAAAGAGGACGCATTGATCACCACACCTCAGAGTATTTCTCACACTGAAGAGCTTCTAGGTTTATTATTTGTGATTTGAAGGTGAAGAAATATATATTTGAAGACACAGGAATGCAGGAAAGGGAGTACCATTCAGATAACACAGCCAGAATCTTGATGGGCTCACACATGCTCCAGATCAGCACCCAAAGCTTGGGTAGAGTCCTACGTGCATGAAAACCAGTTCATTTGCTCACACAGGATTGCACAACCAGTTTACCAAGATTAGCAAACCAGTCATGAGAAGATTATTAGATTCTTCCAGAAATTTTCACAAGATTTTTAGCAGGCATCAGTGTTTTGGGGTACATAAAAAAGAATTTGGTGATAATATGCTCACAAGCAATACAGGCAGGAAGTAATTTCTCTTCTAAAACACTCCATAACTTAAATCAGGGAACACACTGATTTTGCCAAAGAATGGTCAGGCAGTTACTTCCCCCCCCCTTTTTTTTTTTAAGAAAGCAGAATTTAGATGAGCTTTTTAAAACTAAAGTTTCTCAGCAGAGGTGGCTGGTTGTGTCTTAGTTAAAATGCTGATAATAAATACATGAAAACATTCACTTCATTGGGCATTTAGAGACCAAATCCTACAGGAACAAAAGTTATTTTAGAAGAAAATTATTTTACTACAAGGGAGAACAAAGTGGAAATTTTTCTTCTCTACCAAGGTGTGCCCTAGTGGGCTTCCCAACTTCATCTGCAAAAAGTGGGTCACAGAGGGGAAAAGCAAGAGAGTGAGCACCTCATTTACTCTTATTCTAAACTTTTTAAGGCATGTCAGAACTTGCCAGAGATCTAAGAAACAGAGTTTTCTTCTTCACTTGTGTCTGTGTGTCTGGAGGGAGCACAACTGCATCAGAAACAAAGCCCAGAGGGGCTGCAGGGGCTGCTAGCTCACTCCTTGCCAGGGCCTGGGAGGCAGCAGAGCAGCAGGGCACAGGTTCCTGTCCCCAGCAGTGACCTGAGTGGAGCTGGCAGTGCTCGGGTGAGGGGCTGCAGCAGGGTGTCTGCACCCTGCAGGGCACCACAGCCTGGAGAGGCCCCGACAAAGCTGCCATTATATCCCCCTGCAGAGCCACACTGACTCGCTCTGCTCCTGCACTCAAAGAGCTCCTTTCACACACAGGGCACGGGTGGGGGGACCCAGATGGGGGCAACACATTCGATACCCTTGTCCTGCCTTTCCAAAAGAGCCACTGGTGCTGCCTGGCTTGCCAATGCAACGTGACTACAGAAATGTCAGCGAGCTGCAGTGAGCTTTTTGTTTCCCCCAAAGAAAACAGGCAGGCATTCTCATTAGTCCGTGTCTCTTCCCCTCGCACGCCCTGATCTGTATTAGAGCTAACTGAGGCATTCAGTGAGGGACAAGCCCTCTCCCACAGCTCACCAGGCTCATGCTGAGGAGGGACAGCCACACACACCTCTGTCCTTTAGATGCCCCAGGGGAGGGCTTTGGTGGAAGCAGAGATCAGCTGTGAGCTCACTGCAATTTCGAGTTCCAGTTTCTAACCCATCAGGCTTGTAAAGCCAAGCCCTTCCCACCCAGCCTGCTGTAATTGCCTTTTTCTTCCTGAAGAATTACCCAGGCTGGGGCCACAGCCCCACTTTAGCCAACGGTGCTCAGGAGTTGGGCCACAATGGAAATTCAGTTGCAAAACTAAAATTGCAATCCAATAATTAAGGTCATAAGGCAAAAAACAAAGTTACCAACAGGGATGCTGGGGTTAATCACTGGATTAATACTTAACACAAAAGTTCCTGAAAGACAGTTGGTTATGCATTAACATGTGAGGGGAAAGCTTCCCCTGTCACACCAACATCTGACTAAAGCCCACGAGATGGAGATGATTTACATAAATTAATGGTAGTTTGTATTATTATACATGTCCTAAAATTATTGCATCTTTTAAATATGCAACTGTATTATTTGTCTCCCTTCGCCCTTCAAAAAGAGTATGTATGAGCTGACCACTGGTCTCTAAAATATCTAAACAAAATAATTATGACATTTCAGACATCCCCTCCCCCTCATTAACATTATGGAATGGGATGAAGAGCAAATAACAAAGAGGTTTATTAACACATTTTTGTCTGTGGCAATGCATTTCAGGAAAGTGCTAAACTGACCACAAAGCTGCCTGCACCCGTGTCGTTTTGGTACACAGGTTTTTATACCACATAAAACAGGAGTGCTACTCCTGCAATTAGGAGAAGCAGATGGACAGCCAGAGAAGCGAAGTCACATATCCCAAAAGAAGCTCTGCCTTTCCCAAAAGCCACCAGAATAAAGCATTCCCTTGTAAAGAATGCATTTCAGGAAAGTGCTAAACTGACCACAAAGCTGCCTGCACCCGTGTCGTTTTGGTACACAGGTTTTTATACCACATAAAACAGGAGTGCTACTCCTGCAATTAGGAGAAGCAGATGGACAGCCAGAGAAGCAAAGTCACATATCCCAAAAGAAGGTCTGCCTCTCCCAAAAAATGACCAGAATAAAGCATTCCCTTGTATAACCCAAAGGGTACAGAGCCTCATCAGAAATGCTCCTTGAAATAAACAACTCAGGAAGTCTTGGAACAATGTGAAGTGAAAGGGTTAAAAAAAATAAAAATCATGTGAGGGCAAATTAGTTATGCAGTTGTCAGGCAAAAGCCCCTTAATGAGCTTTATCAAATAGGAGAGCGAGTCATGAGGTTGATGAGAACTTCTAATTTTGCACCTGTCTGAAGGACTGTGTCCTTTCACCATCACCCGAGCTTCACCCTGTGAGACAGGACAGTGACAGTCAGCTGTCCCCAGAATACCAGCAGCGAAAAGCTCAGCATCGAGAGATGAGCTCTTGGCCAAGGGCACGGAGCAAATTCACCATCCCAGCATCAAATTCACTGCCCCAGCACTGTCCCCGCTCGTGGCAGGGCTCTCAGTGCTGCACTGTCCTTGTGAGCACTTGCTCTGCCCTTTCCATGAGCACGGGAGAAAAGCTCCTTTTCCCGGGAGCCGGAAGGAAACCGGGCAGCAGCAAGGAGAGTTATTCGCTTTAACATCGCCCCAAACTACGGCAGGCAGGGAACAGCACGGGAGAAAAGCTCCTTTTCCCGGGAGCCGGAAGGAAACCAGGCAGCAGCAAGGAAAGTTATTCGCCCCAAACTACGGCAGGCAGGGAATGGATTCGAGTGTCACGCCAGAAAAAGGCGTTATTAAGAGGTGAAGGAGGAACTCGTCTCTCGGACGAGATGCGCAGAGGAAGCCAGCAACAAGTGCCGGCCCTCGGGCGCCGCGGGGAGCTGGCACCGGCTCCGGCCCAGCCTGCCGCCGCTCCTCTCCCTCCCTCTCTGGCACACATGTAACACGAAACTTCGCATCTCCACGACAACCACCAACAAAAAAAAAAAAAAGAAAAAAAGAAAGGCAGAGACAACAGCTGGCTGTCAGCAGCGGAGCAGAGAGGAGCCGAGCTCGCCGCAAGCCAGGATGAGGGGAGAGATGACGTGAAAGTTTAAGAAGACGAAAGAAAAACAAGAGGAGAAGCCGAGCTCGCGGTCGGGGTAAGGCTGAGCTATCGCTGCTGTTCGGTCGAGCGCGGCACCCGGAGCCTGGCGAGCTCGCCCTGCTCGGTCAGCCATGCAGCAGAGCTTGGGAGGCGGAATTTGCTTGCCAGGGACAGCGAGGAGCGAAGGTGGCAGGAGGAAAAGGGAGAAAAAGCTTTTATTGGGATTGCGGAGAGCTGCGCCGCAGCCGCTCCGTAACAAAAGGAGCTCCGAGCCCGAGCGGGGCTCTGCCAGTGCTGTGCCGGTGACAAAGGCAGGCTGCTGGGGTGTGTGTGCTCGTACACAATGTGTGTCCTGATAAGCTGGGACTGGTACAGAAACAGGCGGTGGAAAGGCAGCGGGGTCCGAGGCTGCCGTGCCCTTAGCGGGGAGCGCAGGCAGGCGTGTGTGAAACCCGGCGGGTTCGGGCACAGCTCCTCCCGGAGCTCCTCCCAGCTGCAGCCAAGTTTTATCCCCCAAATCCTGAAGCGGAGAGCTTAGAAAACAAACCCTGGTCGGGGAACTAGCACGCTGTGCAAGTTAAGCATCTGTGTCCAATAGAAATAAACGGAAAGATTTTACAGGGTTGCTAATGAGAACATTTAAAAAAGAAGAATTCAGCCAGCGTATCAGGCACAGATGCTGGTTTAGTGCTCAAAGCAGCACGAGAACCCACTGCTCTGAGAGGCACTCTCGTGCACATACACAGCTCATGGCTTACAGTAACCAGACTGTCAAGTTTGAATGCAGTGAGAAGGGAAGGAAAAAGATCACCTAAATACATTAAATTATACAACACAATGTCAACACAATGTCTTGAAAAAGACATTTTAGGCCATTGTGTCCAAGCTTTGGTTTTACAGAGGTGTCCCACCTGTTCTCCCATCTCCATTTTGCTATTGGCTACGGGAAGAGGGGTTGGTAATGGACACTGGCCTTATAAATCCCCATTTTCTGCTATCTGAAGCTGACTTTTCTGTTTGGAAGCTGCTGCAGCTCCCAGCACTGAGCTGGGACCCCTCAGCCTCTGCCAGGAGGCGCATGGGCAGTCAGCTGTTTACAAACTGCAGCAGAAAGCCAATTCTCACAGAAAAAGGTCTTCCCAATCCTACACATGCCTGCAGGGAGGAATGCTAAGGATCAGGTATTTCCACTTCATTCCCATTAACAAGGAATGGAGGGCAGGTCTTTCTGACCCAGTGTTGTACAAACATGGAATTGGAAGGAGAGGTAGTAGTTCAGACCCACACGCCTCCAGCCTGGCCCTAAGGCTCAAGGGGATGGAGGGAAGTTTCCACCTTGCTAATGGAGAGTCTCTGTAGGTTGGTTGTTGCAGTTAAGAGTTTCTTAAATAAAGCATGCGAGAAAACAAAGTTTAGCGAAACAACAAAGAAAAAATTAAGGAAGGAGGAGTGAGGAGAGAAGGGCAGGGGAGGGAAGGAGGTGGAGAAACATGCCAAGTTTTCCTGGCCAAAAGAAAATCTTAATGGGTTTGGCTGGGGGCTTGTCCAGCTGCAGCCATGCTGTTCATGTGTGGGGGGAGAGGCACAGCAATGTGAAACACATGTCTGGATAAAAGCAGCAGGACATGGCTAGTGTTACAGCTGTCACAGTGCACGGGCCTCAGCCTGAGTGCGTGTGGGAATGAGGGTACAAAACAATCCAGGTTTGACAGAGCAGCTCCTCTCTGTAAGACAAGCCCCTGACACAGAGCCTGCAGTGGGCCAGAGGCACCCAGGGGCCAGCAGGGACTGGGAGCAGCACCCACCCCACTGCCCCATGCTGAGGAGCTTCCAAACAATTCCTCCTGAGGCAGCAGCTGCTTGCAGATTTTGATTTTTGAGCTCCTACACCCCAGTGGCACCTTGACTAGGATTAGTCCAGGATATTTCAAAAAGCTCAAAAATGCACGTGATTTGGGAGACTTGTAGATGTGAGATCAAGGACGGGGCACAGAGGTGGCTGTTAAAAGTGGAGGAGTTTCCAGCACTCTCAGGGCCTCCAGATGCCAGACCTCAAGCACCAACTTCTGATAGATCCCACTGTGTTTGTGAAGTCACTAAAAGGCTTTCACAGGCACACAGCTACCTCTCAGTCAGCTTCATGGGAAATGGATATTTTGCTAATATTAGAATAGACTTTCAGACTAGATTCAAGCATCACCAACCCTAAAAAAAGTTCTCTTGTAGAAGAGCTACAGGTTTATTTTTAAAATTGACCTTTTCCTTTCATTGGATGGCTCAGTGTTTTGGTTTCCCCACTTAAAAAATTTCTAGTAGTGAGGAATTATCTCATGGGGTTTTGTGGACGTGTTTTGGGATGGACTGGAGAAAACCAGGGTGATCTGCAGAGGTGTAAAGACTTCAGCTCAATGCCCCAGTGGGTACCTCTGCTACTGAAACTGGGAATTCAGTGCCTTTTTACATTAATCTAATATTAGGTTGTAGGGAAGAGAAGGCACATTTACAGTGCTGCCTCAAAACCCATCTCCAAATAGTGGGTGGTGGAGATGACAGGGTATTCCAGCCAAAGGGTGACCCAGGCAGGGCAGCTTTAAAATCTCAGGAATTTGTGGCCTTCTCTTCCAAACCAACTGACAGAGTCCCAGCTTTTCTCCCATGGCATTGAGCTACAATTTACCAGTTTGGGTGTGTGCTGTTCAAGGGCTGAATTCTCTTGATACTGGAAACTATTTTCATCTGCTTGGGAATGAATTATAGGTCTGTCTGGCTCTGTGCACTCCTGTTTTAAGAAAAATAGGCTTGTCTGAACTATAGTTAAGATTCACATGGCTGGTCAACTACAGTCATGGCAGCAAACACAGCATGAACAATGATGAGGGAAAACCATGCACTGATAATACAACTGCATTTCTATGGCCCTTTTCATCTCAGCAGTACACTAAAAGCTTAGAACAACAAACAATCATGCAGGAATTATGACACGTTAAGCCAAAATGCATCCACACTGTAGGCACACCTAGCAACCCAGCATTGTTTGAGAACAGGAAGCACTGCAGACCTTATCCATATAAAATCAGAAGGACATTTCAGGGACCAAGAACAAAGCTGGTACGTATTGAAACTGGCCAAGCCTTCCACGTTCTTTAAAAAGTGGCCAAGTACAGTCAGAGCTTATTTTAGAGTTTTAGACCAGAATAAAAAGCATCCCCTCCCCTTTGGCTGCTCAGCACCCTCCTTCCATGAGTTTGGCCTTGCCTTGTAAGATCTCCTACCAGATAAGCCCCCACAATCCATACAGGCTTCCCATCCCTGTACAGATCAATTTCAACCAATTTATTGGACTAGTCTGAGTAAGAACAACACAACATTTGCTTCTTCAGAGTCCCTGTCTTAAGGAAAAGCCAAGGCTGCAATGAGAATGTTGCCCTGGCACTGTATTTGATGGGAACATCAGGAAGGTTCTGCTTGGTAAGGTGTCTGGAGCTATCCTGCTGTGGGCAGAGGGCAGTGGAGGAAGCCAACTCACCATCACTGGGACTTGCTGCATTAGGACTAGAGGCATTGGCAGCTTCTTGTTCCCCCCAAAATTCCCTCTTTCAAAGCTTTATCTCCACTTGGAGGTTACTAGAGCAACAAACACATGCAAGCACAGTAAACCAATGGATGAGGATTATGGCAAGAACAATATGAGGAATATGGTTGGGTTAGGAGCAAACAAGAGTGGAAACCACACTTTCATCTACATCCATCCTAAACAGGCTCAGTGAACAAAGTGTACAAAGTACTGAGCAAAACAATGGCCAGTTCAGTTTGTAACTGCAGCAAAACCAGGAACTTGTTGCCTTTCTATCTAAAGATTCCCAAGCATGCTGGAAACTTGGACACACAACAATTAACAAACAAAGCTCTGATGTGGTTCCATGTTCTGCTGTCTTGCAGAGATGAAGTCACCCAACAGTGGGATGTGATGACTTACCCAAAGTCACACAACCAGGCAGCACCACTGGCAGGCCAGGGAGACTGCCTGTATTTATGAACTTCCAGTCCTGGGGCTAAACCACAAACTTAAATTTGTGCTTTTTGCACTAAAAAAGGCTGCTCAAATACCCCCAGGCTATGTGTAAACAAGTGTCTCATTCTCAGCAGTAAATTTCAGCTCACCCACTCCCTACAATTCACCTTTGGATGCAGCTGTGTCCACACACAGATCAGGACAGACCAAAAAACCCAAATGTAGAATAAAAATGCAAAACCAAAATGTACAGCAATTCCAAAAGACTCACAGCAGCCTCACCAGCTTCAGGCAGACACAGGGATGTGAGACCCTGCTGTACATGGTCATCTCAAAGCTCTTTTTCTTGGAAAAAGAAGCTTCCATATGCAGCCAGCTCACAGCAAAAAGGAACCTTGATGGAGGCTTTTCTCTTGAATGTCTAGATTGAGGCTTTTTAATGGCTTTATTCTCCAAGGGGCTGAGCAGCCAACTTCTTTGAGTGCTTCAGCATGGCATGAGTCCATTAAAACAACTCAGAAAGATAATTTCAGTGCTATTATGGCAATTTTCACAGCTTTCTTCAGTGGGCACTGCAAGATGAATCTGCATTAGTGCTTTCTGGGAATCTAAGTCTATGTAAGTCCTATACACAGGACATGCACTTTGGTTTTCCAGGGTCATGTAATCCTTGCAGCTGAGCAGCACACCTGCAGCTGTTTGCCATTCCCCTGCATCATTTTTGTGCTCTGTCCTTTCAACCAAGGCTAATAACTCATGGCACGTGGCAGAAGAGGCCTTTTTTTTCATCAAAACCAAATAAACCCAAATTAAATGATTTGTTTTATTCCCTCCCCCTGCTGGGCCTTGCATCATTAGAGGAGGGCAGAAAGGTTTGATGATCTAGTTCCACTGGCATCACTGAGTGGATGAGTTGTTTCTTCAGTCAAAACCATGAATTTCAGGCTACAAGACATTGTGTGACTTTCTTTTCTATGTGAGATTCTTCTCTTGCCTCTCCTCATCTGATTTTCACTTCATTTGAGCTCTGACTACAGCTGTGGAGCAGAATTTCTTGACATCACTCTGACAGTGTGTTATGAAGACCACATTGCACTGTGGTCATTCAGGATTTTTTCCACAACATGGATGAGTTAGATCAGCTCTGCTGCCCCACAGCCAAGACTCCTCTGCTCTGCAAGGTTCCCATCCTCAGTGGGTGAAGTTTTGAGGAAGGACAGTGATGAGCAAGAAGAAATTCCCAATTGAGGAAAACACTGGCAGACAATTATATTTGCTGCAAACCCCTGAGAATCTCTGAGGTACAAACTGGAGTGGCTCTTCCAGGCTCCAAAACAGCACTCCAGGCCTAGAAAGAAACTGTCAGTTAAGGCCCACAACCTTAACTTTCAAACCTTTTAATATCTCCCTGTTTTAATAATAATCATGATAGTTACTGCTTCAACTGAATATCCTGCACCACCTTGCCTTTACTACTGTTGGTGACTGGAAGATTATTTGCACACAATATATAAAACAAAAGGAATTAATTCTCACAGCTCCACTCTGTTATTGTAATTAATGTCATCACCTTTGTGTTGTAAATGAGGCAGATGCATAAGACAACTGGTTTAAATCACACTATCCTTACCCTTGTGCTAATCTCAAGGGTAAAATCTTGGTTCCAACTGAAATCAATTGGGAAAAGGTCACATTGAAACTAGTCCTGAACAAAAGCTTTACAACACAAGTAGAATGGAACATACAGAAATCCATTAATGTAACTGGCTTTCTTGGAGGAGTTTTACTTTTTTCCTTTAGGACTTATTTTATTCTTCACCCTTTTACTTTGCTGCAGAAGCAGAAATCCCAAAGCAGAGAGCCAGAAAGCAGAAAGTGCAGTCAATCAGAAAAACATTTGCTTCCTCACGGGTAGTTTGGAGTGGAGACTGCACCACCACCATCAAACTTTGTCCCTGATGTAATTCAGACCAAGGTAAACAAGCAACATTCCTTGCAAGTTTTAGAATAAAAACTCCTTCACTTAGCTCCAGATCAGGTACCATGGGCAGAGTGGAATGTCCATTACAGAGACAGACTTTATCATTTTTGACCAAGCAGTTTGCTAATCCACATGGAGCTCTACAATCCTGATCAGTAATTTTACCCTGTATATCCAAATTTCACAAGCCAGGCTTTTATACCTGTGGCTTGTGGTGCAACCCAAAGCATGGCATGGAAGTTTACAGCAAATTCATTATGAAGAGAGCTTCTGGACAGGCAGAAACACCTCCAAAGGGAACAAACATTTTCACAATGTTAATTCCAGAAATTTTATTTTTTGATTTTTTTTCTTCTAGAGCCCAGAACAGAAAACACAAATCATTTCACCTCCGCCTCTTCCACCATCTCTTAGAATGGAAACAAAATTGAAAACCTGTTGACACAGAATCCTGCAGCACTAAGGACAAAGCAGCCGTTCTGGAGAAGCTCACTTGGGGTATGCAATCATCTGGAAAGAAGTATTTAACCCTAATCTAAAAAAGTGACCTTTTCAGGTCAAAAGACCACAGCTCTGCCTCTTTCCTGAATTGCACAGCAATCTTTCTGTGGATGTAGATTTTCCATCCACCCCCATTTCTAAGAAACCAGCTGGTTCAGATTTTTATTCCTTAGCTTGGATTTAAAAGAACAAAGAAAACCCTTTTTGAATTGCATAAACATACAAAACTAATTTAACTTGGCACTGTAGTACTTAAGCCCAGCATGCAAAGAAACAGCCAAGGTCTCTCTGTCCTCAGTGTGTTTAGAAAAACTGAACTCCAAGCATCCATTTGTTTGAGTAACCAAGCCAGATGTGCAATAAAGAACTAGCTGGTTTGTTCTGGAAGTGCTGTATTGGTCACTTGGCTTTGTGTTATCACCAAGATCAGGATATTAAATTGCAATGCTCAAGTCCCAAAACCCAGTGTTGCCTGTTACAACACACACAAACCAGTACATTTTGATAGAATAATGAAATAAGAGTTATAACCCATTCAAGTGTTGACCTGTCCAAACATTTGTTTTAGGTGGAACTATGGATATTTTTCAAAAATATCCAATCCCAACTCCTGACTGAAGCAAAATTTGAAGATCCATAGGTCTCATGCCAGCTAGTTTGTTGCAATGCCTCCTAAAATCTTGCTCATGGTAAAAGAACAGCAAATATTGGTGACAAAACTGAGGCATTTAACTAGACTAATAATATTTTCAGTAATATCTCCTGATGATCACTCTGGGAATAAAGAAAGCCTAGGGTTACTGAGCAGGGCAGGAGGGATTAGCTCCACATGGGAGATATCTCCCTGACAGATCCAGGGGCTTTTGCTTTGGTCATCATCAGCAGTGAAGGGTGGAATCCACTGTTCAATTCATATATTGCTCTGTGGCTTAAAAACAAACAAACAAAAAAACCCCCACCAAACTAAATTTAGCTTTCTTTATAAAATTGCATTCATCTGTAAGAACTTGAAAAGCATCCAGCTGTCCCTAGTGAATGCAGACTTTAACTTTGAATATCACATACAGTGAAATTGGTTAATGAAACATTATTAATGCTGTTGTGTTGAGGTGTTGAGGTAAATGCCTTTGTTTTTGAAGGGGTTTCTGTAGCTCAAAGTGCAAGAAGCCTTCAAGGGAGTCCACTTGGTGTTACTCAGTAACAGACAACTGAAGACTATGTACAGTGGAGTTCAGCATTCAAGTTGGGTTAGAACTGCATTTGTTTCTGGAAGAACAAGTTAGCACAACTGGAAAAAAGTGCTTTGTTTGGGTGAGAGCCAAGGGCAGGCACTGTCCAGTCCAGCTCAGTGCCTGCTGGAAGAAGTGTCCTTGTGGAAGAAACACCGTTTGGACTTTGCTTAACAGTGTAGTTGACAAAAACATCCTTGAAGCTGGATTTTGAAATTAAAACAGTGCCAGAACACGTAGACAATTAATAGTCCTCCACCTTAGCTACTGGGAGCAAGGACTGAGACCAGATAAACTTGTTTTCCTTGTGATCACTGGCTGTATAAGAGGGCTGGCAGCTCCCTAGCATTAGTCAGTGAAAAGGTTTATTCTCTGTTTGGTTCTCCTGCAGCATAAAGCCTGGAGAGGTTGTGACAGAATGTCTTCTGAAGGCTTTCTGAAGGAAGTTCAAGCCATTGCTGAGAAGTTTCTCCTTAAGCTCCAGAAACTGCCCAAGGCTGAGCCAGTGGAGATTGTCAGCTTCTCTGTGGTTCTTCTGTTTATTGGTGAGTTTGTGGGTGGAGGCAAAGGGGTGTCAGAATTTCTCTCCTCCCCTATGGGGGCAACTTGCCCCACAGGCTGTGTAGGTGTGTTGGTGGTGTTGGCTGTTGTTTTCTAGGCTGTGCTCTAAGGCCCAGGTTAATTCCTAGGTAATTTTTTAATGCTCAGCATGTACCTCTACATGGTTGCAGGGCATGACAGACAACAGTACAGCTTTCCCCAAAGCTCCCATTTTAAACATTAGTTAAATCAGCAATAATTTTCACCAAACTGCTGTAAAGTTTGGAGGATGCACAGGAGATAGTTTATGACAGATGGCATTAGAGCATCTCCCTGCCACAGAAGACACAGAAGAGGGGCTCTGAGTGTCATTCCTGTATTGGCTCAGTGGAAGCCAGTATGCTTCAGATGAGTGTTTATTCTCCTCTGGTAATGGCAAGATCCCTGCTGCTGCTCTGTGTGGGGATGGCATGGAAGGAATAACATCTGGATCAACAGCTGTTTGGTCAAGGAGGATGAAGTTTGTTTATACAATGGGAAAATAAGCAGGAAGGAAGACAGGCCCCGCTCCTCAAAGACAGGGCTTGCTCCTGGCCAAAAGGAAGGGTGTGTAGTCAATTGGACACTCCTCCCTGGGCTGGAATTCACAATGTCACACCTGCTGCTTTATTTGGTTCATCCCTACAGCTGGTTTCCCACAGGTCAGGTTACCTGGCAGCCCAGGTCCAGGCTTTAAAGGAACACATGCACACACAGATGCATGCTCACACTCTTACATGTTCTGCAAGATGGAACATGTCATCCTTTTCTACTCCAGATAAACTAACACATCCCTGCCAACACCAGCCATCCTGGCTAGAGTAGAGGACAGTCAGTTAGCCCACTGTTCTGTGAAATGAACCTCTGCATTTGAAGTATCTTATTTTTTCAAGCTAAATACAGAAGAGTAAAGCCAACCCAATCATGAGTTTCTATGCTTAAAGAGTACACTGAACTCACTCTTCAGAAATACAACTGCCACTTGGAGTAACCAAACTGCCTCGAGCTTGGATACTCAAAAATCCAAAACTGGATTTTCTTCCTTTCCAGGCACATAGCTGTGCTTTAGGTACTGCATGTCAGTTCCCAAACAACAGCCCATTAAGTGGGTAAAGAAACCTTCACATGGTTTGGAATGTAACTGTTAAGGTCTTGAAATGCCTGGTAATGATTGTCCAGATTAAATAGAAAACCAATACAAAGAAGCAGGAATTTAGGAGGAGGAAGATGGGGATAGGGGAAAAAAAATTCTCAAGAAACCAGGGTTTGCTCATTTTGCTGCTCACCAGACAACTTGGAGGAGACATAGGGTTACTCTGCAGGGATTGCACCTATGCTGTGAAGCAATATCCTTTGTTTCTCTTTGCAGTTACTGTGCTAGTGCTCACGATCATTGCCTGCAGTTGCTGCTGCTACAGCTGCTGTGGCTGTGATGGACGCCCTGATCCCAGACGCAAGAGCCAAGTCAGCCCAGCTGCCCATTTATGAAGTGACACAAGGACATGCTATCGAGGACATGCATGGACATCATGATTCACTGCTATGGGAATGACTTTCCACACTAGCCCACTGAAAATGGCAATAAGAATATTAATTAACATGACTCAAAGGACCAGAAATCACAGCGTGGAATTCCGTCTCTCTGTGACAGCCACTGCTGTGACCAGAAAGGTAAAGCTCCTTTGCCATCACTGTGTCCTTCTTCTGGGCCGGGATGGGGTGGGAGGACATGGACACAGATTGCTGAGAAAAGAGAGAGCTTTCCCAAAGCCAGCCCTGCAGCTGGGCCAGCTGAGGATCCCCCCTGGGACACAGAGCCACGGAGCAAAGCAGAGGCCATGCACACAGCCACACACGAGGCACTGCCTGCTCTCCTCACCAGAAGGATGGTACTGGGCATTAGCAAAACCCACTGACACCACTCTGAGGTCCAGTTGCTCAAGTCATCGTGGATCAAGGCCAAACCTGCTGCAGGAGACACGTTTAGCTGAGATATCTGCTGGAAAGAACAAATGGTGGAGCCTCTCATCCAGGTGTGCCAGCTGAGGCTCTGAGTACAGCGGGTAACAGCTGCCCCCAGTGTCATTTCATTGGTAGTATGATGATGGGAAATTGCCAAAGAAAAAAAACAGGTCATGTGGAATATTCTTTGTAAATAGAAAAAATTAAGGCAAAAGGGAAAAACTCATCAGTCCTATGGCTTATTTTGATCATTCTCTGCTCAACATGCTCCCTCTCCACCTCCTGTGGTTCCTGCTTTCTGCTTATTGCAGATGAATGGTTCTTGCAGAGCATGGGAGCTCCAGGAGATGAACAAATCCCAATCCTAACTTGAGGGATCTGTGTGCCTGACTCCCTGCACTGTGTGCAGTTTATTTTAGTAGACATGAACATGATGCCAAGGGTGTGTTTATGAGCAAGCACAGAGGCATTTCAGAGGAGTGACACGTGATGGGAGCCATCACTTCAGGGTATGTGTGCAGCAGCTGACAGTGGGCACTGTGACAGAGCAGAGCCAAGAATGGGCTGTTGGGCTGGAGTGAACAAGTGCAAGTAAATCCCTTTTCCATGCTGCAGCCACTGTGTATGTTTGGTTTACGCTCTGGTGAACTTCCGAAAGGGATTTACCGACGTACAGGGCTGTGGCACAGGCCACGACTTCCACAGCACAAGAAGGCCACAATTCTGCACCAAACTCTGAACCACTGGTGTTTCAGCCCCAAATGGGAGACCAACCATCTTTGTGAGAAGGTATAAACAATTACATGAATATAGAAAAGTCAGCTTTTGCCTCTGGATCCCAACTAAGTGTACGTACCAAAGTCAACATCGAGCGAGGGAGAACAGAATCATCAAGGTTTTAACAGTGGGCTTTAAAATACTCTTTATACTTCAGGAGGTACAGAAGATAAAGAAAACTCTGTAAAGAAATGTATTTTCTCTGTTGCTTGCACCTATATTAGTAAAAGGCACATTACATCAGCTTCTTATGTATGTAATGCACTTTATTTTTTGCCAACAAACCGGATCTAGGTATTTGGCATTTTTGTACTGCTGCACATTGGAATATATCTGCAGCCAGAGACATAGTGAATAATCTAAGAATTATAAGAAAAATCAAATTCCTGAAACTACCAGTGTTACTTTTAAATTAATAAAAAGAAAAATTTTACAGTGAAAAATGAGGATGTTCTTTAGAAATAAATATTTGACACACAACATGACAACTGCCAAGAGCAGACTGCACTAGCATGAGCTACTGCATGCAGTTACACTGAGACAACAAAGTGTAAAAAAAAAAAAAAAAAACAAGGAAAAAGAGAAATAAAAATAAAAAATTTATTAGGCTGTCCCAAAGCTTTCACTGCCAACCAACATGTTAGGAGGAAACAATCTCAAGCACAGCATCAATTTAAACATTCAGAGGTGCATCACACCAACCTCCTGTCACGTAAGTCTTTGCTCTTTTCACTCACAAACGAGTGCCAAAGTGACATCAGGAGCCTCAGAAGCTCTTTTGCAAAGTCAGACTCAACAGATGTTTTTGTATCTAGATTAAGTCACGAGACCCAGGGAAGAACAGAGCTCACTTTCTCTCCAGGCTTGTGCTAGACAGTGCCAGCTGCAGACATGAACAGCATCCCATTGAGGGCTGTTCCAGCAGCACGGAGCCAGCCTGTGCAAAGGCAGGGGAAGCTTGGCAGGCTGGACACACACCAAGGGCTGACAGGTTGCTGTCACTGGGAACAAGCTGCCAGGCCTTATCTCAACAGGAAAAGCCACAAATGCATGTTTTCCAGTGGTGGTACAAGTTAAACCACTGACAGATACCAGGCAGAGGAACAAGAGAAATGGTTCCTGTCTTATCTCGGCCACTGCGAGTTCCTGAATTAGAATAAACACAGCACTGTCAAAGAAAGGGAAGGAAAGAAAAACAGGCAATCCTCTAAAGGATTCAGGTGGCTTTCTGGAGCAGAGGACCAGCTACCATGTAGAGGGGGTCAATTTCTACACACTTGTCTGGACCTCACAGGTTTAATGTTCTGCTTTGGACTATTTTGTACCACTGCACTCAGCAGGACTATTCCTACAGCTGGGATTCAGACATGCCAGTTGTTTGCCTGATCTGCTGCTTTCTTGCATGCATTTAGGGTAGCCTGAAAGATGCCAGCAAGTGCCCAGCTTCCTGCAGCTCTCCAGCTTCTGCTGACTACAAACCTGCTGGTCCCTGGGTCCCTGCTCAGCACTCACACAAGTTTTTGTGTTTTGGCTTTGTTCAGTACTCAAGTACAGGCACCTACAGGGAGCAGCAGTGAGGATGGATCCTCTTGCAGAGGGAACTTCAGAGGGAACCTCAGAAAAAGCACAGAATAAGGCAAGGCTGCTGCTAACACAGCAACTGCCATTCATATTGTGAAAGCCTAGGAGGAACTGCACTGGAATACTGTTACTTTAGCAATTATGATAAAAAGTGTTGAAATTGTTTCTTTCCCTGAGGAACCTCAAAGAGCCAGCAAGGCCAATCCTTCCAGCAGAAGTGGTTGAAGTTCTACTGATGACTTCATGGAATAGCTTCTGTTCTGTAACATTATCCCTCTGGTTTGCTTGACTTGTGAAAAATAAGTTTCCTTTTACACACAGGCAGTCTCACACACCACACTCCTCAATCTCCCCTCCCTTCTCTCTCCAGCACCATCCCTCTGGTCTTCCCCAGTCAGGAGAGTGATAGAGTTTTACTGCAGCTCACAGCAGTGCAATGCTCTAGAATGGGTTTATTCACCTAAACTATCACAATGAATTTTGGACTGCAGGGCAGTCTTGTTCATTCTCATTCCAGTCTCCTACTGGAGCTTGCAACACAGACCCAGTTGGGATCCAGGAAACACAGCCCTCTTCTCTCCACCACATCCTGCAGCCTGCCCCAGACAGAGGCCACAGTGGGCCTTTGCAAGCCCTGCAACAGCTGTAGGAGTGGATAAAGCCATGAAGAGGAAGAAATGTCTGAGGAACAGCTGAATTAGGACTTTTTAGTTGGGTTCAAGGCCTTTGATTTGATTAGATTAGCCACACCTTTGCAGGAATTAATCAGCTGTTAATCATTTACTGCAGCCCAAAGAGGCAACTTCCAGGCTACCTCTACAAGTCTCCAGGTACAGCAAGGGGTCCCTTCACCACAGGCCAAGATCTCTTGGAGGAGTGAAGAGGAGGCAACAGAGGAAACACCTACTACAAACCACAGCAGCTTCAGGTATTTATAAAATGTCATACAGCTCTCCTGATCTGCGAGGTGAACTGCACTTAGCAAAAGAGACAGGAACTTCCTGGGGTGTGCAGTCCCACAGGATTTCTGCCTTTGGGTCTAAGGAACTTGTATCTAGGCTGCCTCCTTTTTGAAGGCAAAGGAATCCAGAACAGCTTTGATGTCCCATGTGCTGTTTGGTTAAAGGCTGAGCACAGTGATTTGCTATCTACCCAGAAAACAAACCATAAACTGAATAAATCTGGCTGTTGAGAAAGAAATAAAAATTTCAGCAAATGTGAGCTTGTTCTTCAAGTCCAATACAAGCTGCTGAGGATGAGACACTTTACAGGAGTAATTCTTTTTCTTAGAGTATTTATGATACAGACATAAGAGGCAGCAAGTCAAGCCAATTTTCAAAAATAACCTGTATCTCTTCCTGTATTACATCTACATAGTCACATTTGCAATAAAGTGTGAGAAATATTCCATCATTTCCCTTGAGAAGCAAGGAAGCTTTAGTAAAACCACAAGATGCTCACAAAGAGATGCTGGGTGTTCTTTAGGAAGCTGACAGCAAAGTCATTATTCAAAGTATCAGTGAAAAAGCAAGTGAGTAAAACCCACTGAGATCCCAGTTTAAATTATTACTGGACCTCCTTGTGAGAGTAACAGAAATCATTACTAAAGCAAACTTAATTAGCAGGAGTTTAACATGAAATTAGGACACCCTTTTTAACATATTTGGACTATTCTAAGCCTTAGGGAAGAAACAAGTTGTACATGATCCTTGCTTGTTATTGCTGGGTTTTTTTGCTTGATTGTTTTTAAATGTGTTCCTGTAATCTCATATGTGTCCTCAGAGTTTAAGCCCCCAACTCTCCCTTTTAGTGATCCTTCCAATGGTATCAAGGAATTTCTCCCACTGAATATTTGTCTTTCATGTATAGGCTGTACAGCTGACAAAGAGTTCATACTGAAATGCTGGAGAGACACTGTATTATTGAAAATATTGATAAGCTATGATTAAAATAAATCTCAACTGCCAGAATGCTGTAGAGCAAGCAGCTTTTCCTCTTTACATCTCTATAGATCTGATTGTTAAACCAGTCTGAGCTGTATTTCCCTTGGCTTATCCTCTCATTTCTGTGAAGGGTGACCCTCCTTTTGGAGGGGGATGCCTGCAGGCACACACACCATGCACACCTGCACTGGTTTTGGGGCTGTGACTGAGGGCATGGAGAGGATACAACACCTAACCCTGTTGTCTGTCCCCAGCAGGGTGGAAACCAGCATGTCACTAGAGCAAGAGGCATCCTCAGATCTGCAAGACCTAAAGAGACTGATTGCAACAAGTGACTGGGCTCTTGGAGGGCTGGTGGTGATTTGCATCTTCTGTTTTGTTTTCATTGCTCTCATTTTATTTGCTGTTATCTTTGGGTGCTGCACATCTCCAAGGCACAGACATGGTGGCTCATAGACAGCGAAGTGGGGACACAGAACTTGGTACAGCTGAGCAAGAACCAGCCTGGGTACAACCTGATTGTTGTTCACAGAAAACTCTCATCTCACTCCCTGGTGGTTATTTCTCTCCATGCAACTTCCCTGCATCAAGAGCAACATCCCAATGCCAGCAAGTTGTTCTGCAGGCCACAGCAAACTCAAACATGAGGCTGTCTGGATTCAGGAACTGCAACACTTGGCAAATATCAAAGGAAACTCTTCTCTGATTTTCATCTTTCAAGCAAAACCACCAGCTAGAGGTGGCAAATGCCACCACCTAAAGCTGATAAAGATGTGTTCTGCTGCTGTGTGTTGGGGGGTTTTTTCATCTTGCAAAAGGGCAGTAGGAAACTCTGGCCACTGAAAGCTTTGTCTGAACCCACTCTCTAAAAGCAGCTCAGACCATTGTTCTCCTGTCACACTCAGGCCTAAATACACTATGCAAAAATGTACTTGCCAGTACACAGTCTGTCTTTATTTGTTCTTATTTATAACCTTGCAAGGTCAGAGTTTGAGGTTTGCTTTCACTGTTTGGATAGTGAGCAGAACTGTATTAATTCAATACATAAAAAAGAAATGCAACGTGGCTTTGCTTTGCACAGCACCTCAGTCTCCTGTAGAGTTATGAGCAGGGAAGCCAGGCAGGGGTGCTGCAATATGTGACTCTGGGATGCATACCCCATGATATACAGTTGGAAAAATGGATCAAGCTGAGTAAGGGAAGAAAAAGTCTGGGAGGGGTGATTTCTGATTAAGTCAGTGATATTCCCTTACTCAGATTATTATTTTGAGGGTGGGGAGATACTGGGACAGGTTGCCCAGAGAAGTTAGAGATGCCCCATCCCTTGGAAGGCCAGGTAGGATGGGGCTTGGAGCAACCTGGCCTAGGGGAAAGTGTCCCTGCCCAGGGCAGGGGGTTGAATTAGGTCATCTTAAAGGACTCTTCCAACACAAACCATTCTATGATTATACAAAACCCAGCCACAACAGCCATCTGTGATCTGGGAACACATCCCAGAAGGGGGAGAGCTCCTCAGACAAAGTGGATCAAATTCTTAGGAAAAGAAGTCTCCCAGCAGCTGCTTCACAGCATCACCTTGACTTTGGGCAAAGAAGTGCCCCTTTAAGTGGCCCAGGGCTCAGTGTTGTGCCACACTTCAGTACAAGCAAGACTATTCCATAAACCCAGGATTTGTTTCCCAAACATGACGAGGAGAGAACACTCTCACCAAGGCACCAGAAAAGCAGCACGTGTTCAATTCATGTTAAAAAAGCTGTCCTAGACCCACATGTGAAAAATGAAACAAAATGAAGAACTTGTAAGCATGACACACAAAGATAATTTTCAGTTAGTGGACATATACTGCTCTCTTCCTGGCAAAATTACAGCTTTGATGTCTCATCCAGCATAGAACAGCAATTAGTACAATTACAGCATACAAGGCATGAACTAAACCTGAACAAAGCATGTTGTGGTTGCTAGTCTGCATTTAGATTGGGCACATCCATAATTTGAGCCTGTTTCTGAAACATTCTAAGCACCATCAGGTCCTTCTGAGGTCAGTGAGGATCACAGACACTTTGCAGAGTGAAGATGCTGAGATATACAGAAACATTAAATTTAAATGCTTCCATCCCATGGCTCCCTGCCCCATTAGGAGAGGAGTGATGTACTGAAGGAGGAGAGTCAAAACAAGAGCAAATACAACAAAGTCAACCCATGATGAAAGATGGAATATTGTTAAATGTACCACCAGAGAAGTTAAACATCCCCCTGACTTGGTCAGACTCCAAGACCAACATCTCAGAGGTTGGACTGATAAGAGATTTCTCAGGGACACATGCAGGATCTCAGCCATAACAGTTTCAGTTTCTTGGGAGAACAGGGCATGTTTTCCCCAGCATTAACAGTGGTGTGTGAAAGAAATGCACTCACCCCAGCTCCTCACAGAAGTTCACAATGGCATCAAAAGCTGTCATCACAGCTTTGTCAGACTCTTTTAAGGTGCCTTTTTTTTCCTGAAAGTAGATGGGACAAGGAATTGTAATCTTCAATTTAAATTTACACAGATAGAGTAGCTCTAGCAATGATCAAATCCAACCCTTCTGAGCTACATGGCAAACAGCTACAGACACCTCCCTGTCCCTGCTCTTTTCCTCTCTAATAGAGCTGGCTCTGGCAGCCTTTTCCTTCCCTACTTCCCTTCCTTCTGCTATCCCTTGAAATGGGGCTCCACACAGCTCTGGACTCAGAAAGTCTCATCTCATCTTTTCATATTCAGAGGTTACTGCAGGCAAACCAGAGCAGAGCCAAGGCACTGGGATCCAGGCAGGTGGGTACTGTTCTGCAGCTCTCACCTGGATGTTAGAGAGCTCCTTCTTGATCAGGAAGCTGACTTGATCCCTGTCATTCCTTGAGTAGTAGAGGCGGCAGCAGGATGGTTTTCCATCTCTCCCAGCTCTGCCAGACTCCTGGTAATATCCAGCCATTGACTTGGCAATATTCCAGTGGACAACAAATCTGCATGTGGTAAAACAGGGAATGTGAGGCTGCAGGTTTCTCAGAGCACTGCACACACCAGTGTGGTGTCTGTGGGCATCAACAACAGCAAAGAACAGGGCAGCAAAACTTAAAGGAGGATGGAACACAACAAGAGAATTTGCACACTGAAGTTTTAGTCCTCTTAGCACACAAGACATAGAAAGCAGCAGAGCTGTAAGAAAACAAATGCACCTGGGCAGCATGTGAGCAGGATGCCACTCCACATGGATAGAAAAGGATGAGCACATGAGTATCCCAAACATGCATACAACTGTGCAGCTATGAAGACTGAGAATAAGAACATTGAATTAAGTAGTTTGGGAGATTGTACCATAAAATACAGCATTAATTAAAAAGTTGTATCTATTTTGTGGGACATAACTGCACCACTATGAAACACATTTTTAAATGTTTTTTTTTCTTCTAAAGACATTTAGCCAAAATCTCCATGGGAAATTCCACCTCACTGTGCTTCTCAGATGAAGGCAACCTTCCTAACCAGCAAATATGACTATAGAATCATTACTAAATTTTATGTAATCCCTGCAGGAAGGTTTTCAACACTGCTTTAAACCTGCTTGTACTGACTATTCAGCAATTCAGCTTATACCTGTTTTGAGAGGATTGCACAGTAATGCTGCCAATGTTTTCAAGTCTGCCTCAAAGCCAGCATGACCCAAGGGCAGGTATGATGCATATGGGTGTAGCTAAAGATTAAATGACAAAAGCAAGCAAATGTGTTTCTTCAAACACAAACAGCCCAGAAACAGGCCAAGCAGGAAGCATCAGAGCCCTGAAATCCACAATTAAACCCCATCAGGAAGTTTGCTGAAGAAATTAATAAATAATTTTAAGCAGAACTGAATTAACAGTGGAGAGGAGCAGATTCCATCAGAATGAAAAGGGACACCACCTCTGTTTTCCCTTTTGTCCAGAAAAGTCACCTCCAGAAGTTGTCAGACCTGATCTTATTTGATAACATATGCATGAATACTCAGAAATCTGCCAGCAAGAGCAAAGGCTAAGCAGCAGTGCCTTGTTAACTAGGCTTGGGCATAATGTTATTTTTAAAAATGCCTGTAAAGAGTCAATTTATCTCCATTCCTTGTAAACTGACCAGATTACAAGCATATCTCAGCTATAATTCACTTTCAGTCAGGCCTCTGCATTTCAGTTACTCTCTGCCTTTTTTAATGACCATTGGATAATTCTTCAGCAGGTCATTAATTCATGTCCTAGGAAACTCCTCACTTCTCTGTTTGGAATCAGATGCATCAAGGAAGAAAACTGTTTCCTGGCAGCACAGTGACACAGGCAGAGGGATGGCACAGTTGTGAACTGATGGGATTGGCTCAGTGACATCCTGCCCTTCTCTCACAGTATTCAGAACAGCTTCTCTATGTGGATTTCAGAGATCAGGTCTGTTGTGGGTGTTGTCTGAGCTGCACCTGAATTATCCCTCTAGTAAGTGATCACAATAATAAGTCAGCACAGCCATATTGGAGGGCAGGAATTCTAACCCAGAGCTTTTATGGGGACAGCAATCTCAGAGGAACAGCAATGGCAAACCACGTGCAAAGTTTCTGCCCTTGGAGTGGAGCTGTATTTTTATATGGTTATTGCCATTTGTGAAGGGCTATTTTTTTCCACATTGCACTCAAGAGATCTCCAAGAAAAGCTGGCTCTGACTATTTTAATAGAGGGTGGGTGAATTATTTTAGGTGCAGATTTTCCTTCCACTGCTTTTAGACAGCAACTGCTGCACTAAGAGAAGTGAAAGAGACAGCTGTGATTGCACTGAGGTGGCTCTTTCTGAAACCCTGGAGGGTGTGGCAGAAAAGCATTCCTCCCATTTTCTTGATTTTAAGGATGACTGGCAAAGAGGAGCTCTGCTGCCTCGTGTTTAATGTTTTTACAAAGCCCTCCCAGGTTTGGTTTTGCTGCTCTCAAGATAAAAAATTTCCTGCACTGGTTTTGTTGGTTTAAGCAAGTGTTCATCAGGCAGTTGAAACGGGTGGATTAGGTAAGAGAGCCTGAGACTTTTCCTTCCCCCTGCTCAGGTTTCAGTCTCTGATGGTGCTCAACACTCAGCCTCACACCTGACATTTCCTTTGTCTACTCCCATTCCAAAACTGATGGTTGCAACAATGACAGGGATCTTCTCCTCCATCCATTCATTCTGGACAGAAGTCCTGTCAGCTGCCTTGAGCCCTGGGAAGGAAAAGAGAAGAACGTAAACAACACCACAAAAAACCAAACCAAAACATACAACCAACCCCCCCAAAAAGAAAACAACAACCCATGAACAAAACAAAACCCCCAAAAAACAAGAAGGAAAGAAACAAGATTTTCTTTCTCATCCATTCCCCCACTGCAGGCAAACTCCCTCACTAAAACTGTCTGATGTACACACTCCTCTCTTCCCAGTGTTTAAACTGGCCTGGGACCAAGCAGAAGTCAGCAGCAGCTGTTTTTATTCCAGAGAAAAAATCTAGCTCCCCACCCAGGATAAAAGGAGTTGTTATATTCAGGCCATGAAAGATCCAACAAAGCCAACAGCTCTGGAGACAAGGGAATGCCATTGTGGTGAAGGGCCTGCACTTACCTCACAGACCTGATGTGTGAGCATCACACAGAGTGCAGAGCATGCCTACACAGCTCTTTTCTAGGCAGCCCCAACCCAGGTGGCAGAGTTCAGTTCTCCCAGCTAGCGAGAGATGCAGACTCCAGTACCTGCATGGTAGGCCTTGGCTTTCAGGCCTCGGTAGCTCAGCTCAATGGCCAGCTGGTCACACACATCCCTCATCCTGCAGTACACGATGCCACAGCCGGAGTACACCTGGGAGCCAGGAGACAAAGGCAGGACACTGCCTGAAGTCAAACAACAAAGCTGCAAATACAGCTCCTCAT